AGTGGGACCCTGGGGGAAGGGGATCCTCGGGGGGTCACAGTGGGACCCCAGAGGTGAGGGGACCCTCGGGGGGGGTTACAGTGGGACCCCGGGGGAAGGGGACCCTCGGGGGGGTCACAGTGGGACCCCGGGGGAAGGGGACCCTGGGGGGGGTTACAGTGGGACCCCGGGGGAAGGGGACCCTCGAAGGGGTCACAGTGGGACCCTGGGGGAAGGGGATCCTCGGGGGGTCACAGTGGGACCCCAGAGGTGAGGGGACCCTCGGGGGGGGTTACAGTGGGACCCCGGGGGAAGGGGACCCTCGGGGGGGTCACAGTGGGACCCCGGGGGAAGGGGACCCTCGGGGGGGGTTACAGTGGGACCCCGGGGGAAGGGGACCCTGGGGGGAGTCACAGTGGGACCCCGGGGGAAGGGGACCCTCGGGGGGGTCACAGTGGGACCCCGGGGGAAGGGGACCCTCGGGGGGGTCACAGTGGGGCCCCGGGGGAAGGGGACCCTCGGGGGGGGTCACAGTGGGACCCCTGGGGAAGGGGACCCTCGGGGGGGGTCACAGTGGGACCCCGGGGGAAGGGGACCCTCGGGGGGGTCACAGTGGGACCCCGGGGGAAGGGGACCCTCGGGGGGGTCACAGTGGGACCCCGGGGGAAGGGGACCCTCGGGGGGGTCACAGTGGGACCCCGGGGGAAGGGGACCCTCGGGGGGGTCACAGTGGGGCCCCGGGGGAAGAGGACCCTGGGGGGGTTACAGTGGGACCCCGGGGGAAGGGGACCCTCGGGGGGGTCACAGTGGGACCCCGGGGGAAGGGGACCCTCGGGGGGGTCACAGTGGGACCCCGGTGTGGGAGCTCTGGCAGGATACCAGGGCAGGCAGCAGAACGGCCCTCGTCCATGGTGCTGACAGCCAGAGGCATAGCCACCAAGCCACGGGAGAGTGCCTCCCCCTCCCGGGGCCGGGACAGGTGATGAGGGAGGGGGTCCGTGGTCACCGGCCAGGCCCCAGAAGGGACCGCTGGAGCATGCAGAGAGCAGCTAAGCTCATCTTGGGCCTGTGGTCCTGGAGATGTGCAGGCCCTGGAAAGCAATTCCAAATCCTCTCACACACGTTTAGGTATCTGTTACACCCGCACCCTATTTCTGGTACGTATTTCTGGTAGGGTGAAAGCGCTGCAGACGGCGGCTGGAGCGTCAGAGCCTGCTTCTTCCCAGCGAGCTGGGTCATAGAGAGACTCTCCCAGGCCCCCCTCCTGGCTCCGTGACACAGGATGCAGTCCCTTGGCCAGCAGAAGCAGAGCCTGCAGGCTGCCTCCTCTTCCTGGCCTGCTCACTCGGGCATCTGTCCCCAACTGCCTCTTGTAGGGACCCCAGTCCAGATGGACTAGGGGGCCAGGACAGATCCAATAGGAGTCTACCTCAGCTTGGTTCCATTCACAGGCTCTTTGAACGACAAAACGACACTCTGTAATCACAAAATCTCGGTGAGGTCAAAAGTAGCCAAGAGACAACAGGTCAGAAGGCAGTGAACACACCTGCACACCCATGTTCATTGCTGCACTATGCACCATGACTGTGTTACAGCCCAGATGCTCTACAACTGATGAATGGGTCAAAAAATGTTACCTATCTATCTATCCACCTAGGTAGGTGGATAGATAGATTATATGTGTGATTATATGTGTGTGCTATACAGAAGGTGTACATGTGATGTATAAACATACATTCAATAGAATTTTACTCATGCATCAGGAAAAATAATCTAATGCCATTTTCAAGGAAATGGATGGACCTGGAATAAAACTATATTAAGTGAAGTAAGTCAGGCTCAGAGAAACAAAGGGTGCATGTTTTCTCTAATATCGGGCAGTTAGGTCTAAATTACAAACATATATGAAAACATCCAGGGTTGTATACATATGTATATACATATGTACAGAAAGATAATAAATAAATGTGGTATCTGCAGTGGGGAATTCCAATGAAGTAACTTTTGTGAATAACTAACTTTAGTTTAACAATAAGAATATCAGTAAATGCTGGACAACAGTGGCTCACACCTGTAATCCTAGCTATTCTGGAGGCTAAGATCTGAGGAACCCAGTTCAAAGCCAGGCTAGCACGAAAGCCCAAGAGACTGTTATCTCCAGTTAACCACCAGAAAACCAAAGTTGGTGCTGTGACTCAAAGTGGTAGAGTTCTAGCCTTGAGTAAAAAGAGCTCTCTGGCAGCTCCCAGGCCCTGAGTTCAAGCCCATGACCCCTCCCCACCCCCCAAACATACACAAGAATACCAGTAAGGAGAAGCATGGAGAAGCAGGTGTTGTATGGGGTGTGGGGGACACAGGGGCAAGGGGGCAGATGAATGGGGAGGGAATGGGGCAATTATGGACACAGTAGTCAATGCACATGTGTGAAATTGGAACCTGATACCTTGAAGGGGTGGCTGGGGCTCAGACACGGGAAAACAATGGAAGGGAGACCTGCATCCACATGCAGTGAACGCATGAACCAACCTGGTCAGTCAAACCCCCTTTGAGCAACTGCTAAGAGCTCGTTTTATCAAAGAATAGCCCAGAGAGCCTTGAGGGGTGAGGAGGGGCCAGTCCACTCGGGCGCACCAGAGTTAGGCCAGAGGAGGTCAGGAAGACGGGGAGGATGGAGGGCCTCGTGGAGCAGTCCCAGGAAGAAGAGCACCACACGTGCGCCGTGACCCCGGGGCTTTGGGGAGGACGTGGCGTATGGACAGGCCAGCCTCTGCACTGGCCAGGGCTAGAGTGCCCAGCCTCCCTCGGGACCATAGTCCCTCCTCAGTCAGGCACAGAGTGCTTCACAAAGGGCTGGGTGGCAGACAGAAGGAAGGCCCAGTTCTGCCATCACAGCCTTGGCCATGAAAGATGCCTCTCCCCACGGAGCAGGCCTGAGACCCAGTCATTCATACATTGAGACTGGACAGAGAGCCGGGGGGCCAGGCCCCAAACCTGCCGCATGCTCGCTGCCCCCGTCCTCACTGCCCCCATCCTTGCTGCCCCCACTCGCCTGCCCCCATTCTCACTGATCCCCATCCACACTGGTCCCCCATCCTCCCTACCCCATCCTCCCTACCCCATCCTCCCTACCCCATCCTCCCTACCCCATCCTCCCTACCCCATCCTCCCTACCCCATCCTCCCTACCCCATCCTCCCTACCCCATCCTCCCTACCCCATCCTCCCTGCCCCATCCTCACAGGTCCCCCATCCTCCCTACCCCATCCTCACAGGTCCCCCATCCTCCCTACCCCATCCTCCCTACCCCATCCTCACAGGTCCCCCTTCCTCGCCAGGCCTCATCTCCTCCCACTCACCCACCTCAACGCCCGCCCTGCCCACAGCCCTCACCACCTCACTGTCTGCCTTGCAGGAGACACCAGGGTCCCGAGCGTGTTCCCCATCACCTCAGCGTGCAAAGCACCAGCAGGAAACAAGGTGGACCTGGCCTGCTTGGTGACCGGGTACTACCCAGAGCAGTTGACAGTCACCTGGGAGCCAGCACAGGACAGAATTGTGACCTTCCCGTACACAAGGAACGGGGCCTTCTACACCCTGACCAGCCACGTCTCCTTTCGGGACTCACAGTGGGACCTGAACACATCGTACACCTGCACTGTCCACCGCAAAGAGACCAACAGCCAGATAAAGAAGACTTTCCAAGCGTCAGGTGCGCAGCCCTGGACCACAGGAGGCCTTTCCTGTTGGGGCCTCGACTTTCCCCGTGCAGCCTCCCTCTGTGCTGGGCTCTGGGGTCTCGCCCTGGGCCCCGCCGTCCCTGCGCTGTCTGCCCTGTCTGTCCACTGCAGCCCTGCCTTCTCTCCCTCCCCTTCTGCCGGCCCCTCCTGTCACGTCCTCTCCTGATGCCCCTCCTTCTAGCTGTCCCTCTCTGCCACCCTCTCCCTGGCCCTGCCATCTGGCCATGCCCTTTGGCCCCCGTCTCGGTCCTGCCCCTGGCTGCTCCTTCTGAACTTCCCTCGCCCCTTTCTGCTGCCAATGCGCCCAGCGCCTGCATGCTTTCCTCGGGGATGGCTTCCACAGGAGCAGGGAAGTAGGCGGCCCGGCGAAGGCAGCAGCTGAGAGCCGTCGCTCTGCAGGCCTCCCCCTCCTCCTGCCACGCTGTCTCCTTCCTCCCGGCACTACCAGTGCGCAGCAGAGCCCGGCTCCTCAGTCCTCCCCGCTCTCTCACCCGCACCGCCGCGGCTCCTTTGATTTCAGACTCAGGGAATTCGAAGGTCTTCCCCACGCCCACTGTCCCTGCGCCAGCAGAGAAGGGCTCTGCGGAGGCCAGGGGACCCACCTCCCCCGCCCCCGCCACCAGCCACACAGGTGAGAACACGGCTCTCAGCGAGTCTTCCTTGTAGCCCGTGCGGACCCCAGGCTGCCTCCTGTGGGCCGCCCTCCAGGACTGCTCACCTCAGTGCTTAACCCAGAGCCGAGCTGAGCAACAGGCACTGAGCTGAGGCCTGCACACCACCTGGAGCAAGCCAGCCCCGTGAGGGGGGAGAGGCCGGCCCTGTGTGGGGGGAGAGGCTGGCCCCGTGAGGGGGGAGAGGCCGGCCCCGTGTGGAGGGTGAGGCTGGGCCCTGTGTGGGGGGTGAGGCCAGGCCCGTGTGGGGGGTGAGGCCGGGCCCTGTGTGGGGGGTGAGGCCGGGCCCTGTGTGGGGGGTGAGGCCGGGCCTGTGTGGGGGGTGAGGCCGGGCCTGTGTGGGGGGTGAGGCCGGGCCCTGTGTGGGAGGCAGAGGAGGCCAGGCCCCATGTGGGGGGTGAGGCCGGGCCCTGTGTGGGGGGTGAGGCCGGGCCCTGTGTGGGGGGTGAGGCCGGGCCCTGTGGGGGGGTGAGGCCAGGCCCGTGGGGGGGGTGAGGCCGGGCCCTGTGTGGGGGGTGAGGCCGGGCCCTGTGTGGGGGGTGAGGCCAGGCCCTGTGTGGGGGTGAGGCCGGGCCTGTGTGGGGGGTGAGGCCGGGCCCTGTGTGGGAGGCAGAGGAGGCCAGGCCCCATGTGGGGGGTGAGGCCGGGCCCTGTGTGGGGGGTGAGGCCGGCCTGGGTAGGAGGCAGAGGAGGCCGGGCCAGCCCTCCCCAGTGCAGGACAAGCTCTCATCACAGAGCACAGGCTGAGGGAGAGACCAGCACGGACGCTCCTGGAGCAGCAGACCCAGCTCTGCACCTCTGAGCTGTGTCGGGGGCTCCTCCAGACCTCCAGGGAAGCCCATGGCAGACCGTGAAGACACGGAAGACATCATTTGAGAGGCCAGCGCCCCGGCCTCCACTCTGTGGACAGCAGAGGAGCCTCGGTGCTGCCTCCAGCGTCTGCAGGCCCCAGGGCTGGGCTGGCCTGGAGCCGCTGCTCCTGCCTGTCACCTCCAGAGCAGGTGCTAGCAGGAGCGCCGTGTGGAGAGTCCACAGTTAGGACTCTGCAGCCCGAGCGGCCCCGAGTCAGCCGCTGCAGCTCTGAAGGCTCTTCCCCCTGAAAAAGAGCTCAGTACCCTGTGTCCACTGTGCCCCACGGCTCACAGCCTCGGCCCCCGCAGAGCACTTCTTACGTGGCTGACTGGACGGACAGCGGAGACACCTTGCAGGGGCTACTCTACTCCACCTGGCCCCTGCCAAGACCACACACTTACCTTCAACAGATGTAACAATGTAGCCATACCCAGGGCTAGCCATTTACTCACAGAAGAGACGTGAAAAAGCAAGGGTATTGGAAATCTCAAAAGGAATGCAATCAATTCCCAATATGAAATACCATAGAAGAAATTCAAAATAGTTGTCCTAAGGAAATAGTGGAATTCAACACACTATTATGTGCTGTCAGTGGTTCATGCCTGTCATCCTAGCTACTCTGATGACTGAGATCTGCGGATTCTGGTTCAAAGCCAGCACAGGCAGGAAAGTTCATGAGACTCTTATCTCCAATTAACCACCCACATGCGAAAGTGGAGTTCTGGCTCAGGTGGCACAGCACAAGCCTTGAGAACAAAGCTAAGGAACAGCACCAAGCTCGGAGCTCAGTCTCCAGGGTCTGCAGACAGACAAGCCCAAAAATCCTTGAAGCTGAAGAAATCAGTGAATTGAACAAAATAACAACAGAGAGCTTCAATAAGAGGCCAGATCAAACAGAATAAACAGTTTTTGAACTTGAAAGCAGACCTATTGAAATATCAGAGAAGAGAAAAGAAGAAATGAACCTCAAAAAGAATGAGGAAGCTAATGGAAACTATAGGACACCATTAAGTGAACAGATATCCACACTGCAGGACTCCCAGAGGGAGGAGAGTTGGAGAAAGGGACAGAAAGCCCACTTGACCCAGTTAGATCTGAAAATTTCCCAAGTGTTGGGAGAAATAAGGATATCCAGATACAGACACTTCCCAATGGACTCCACCCAAAGGTCTCCCCCAAAGCACGTTACCATCAAAGTGTGGAGATAAAGGACAAAGAGAAGTCTGAAAGCAGCCAGGTGTCATTCCACACCACCTACAAGGGAAGTTCTATCAGCTCAGACCTCCCAGAGCAGGAAGGGACAGGGTGACACATTCCCAGTGCTGAAAGAAGCACCACCTTAACCTACCAAAACTAAGAGAGATAAAGTCCCTAACAGGCAGAAGCTGAGGACATTTACCACCATGACACCATCCTTATAAGATGCTTAGCCAAGTGTCACCACTGCAGACATAAGGACAATGACTGTACCAGAAAACCACATGAGATGTAAAACTCACTCTTAAGGGCAAATTTAATATGTATTTACTGAGTTATAGTCAAGCTCATTCTTCTCTAGGACCATAACCATTCTATATAATTCTCTCAAATCACTATGATGAAGGTTAAAGTTCAAAATGGTCAAGGTACCTGCAGCTAGAAGTACTTGTTAAGAACACACAATACACAAGTATGTAAATCAAAATGACAAAAAATATGTTGTGAGGGGGTAGATAAAATTCAAAGTATTTGTCCGTGCCCAAGAATCTTCACGTCAGTTCCGTGGTAATCAGCAAGAATTGCAGCAACTTTTCAAACTCAAAAGAGAAAGGCCCCAAGGCACAGAAAGGCTCATAGGCACAGAAGGCCAGCAGCCCACCACGCAATCAAGGAGGGGAAGAAGGCAGCAGAGACAACCGGAGAACAAGAACGCATGGCAGGAATGGCCCTTCCTCCCCACCAGAAAGCCTGAAGGCAGCTGGTTTGAACTCTCTAGTTAGAAGATGGAGAGCCACTGGCCGGATAAGGACACATGGCCCACCTGCAGGCTGCCTAGTTACTCACCAACCCTGTGAGGACAGAGACTGAGAGTGAGAGAATGGATGGATACTTTGTGCCAACAACCGAACGCCAGCAGGAAAAGCTACACTTGAACTTCATGAAATGGATCTCAAGCCCAAACTGCAAAAGTAAATTAAAAATATTATTATGTTCCCAAAAAACTATCAATTCAGAAAATGATATGATGATTGCAAATGCAAATATACAAAGCAGATATTTTTCAATTATTCAATCTATAAAGAAAGACATTGTAATGCAATAATAACAGGAGATTTGAAAAGTCACTTATAGCAATGAACAGGCCATTCAGATTGAAATCAGCACAGATTCACTGGACTTAAATGCACTCTGCACTAAGCAGACAGATAGACATTATTGAACCTTTTATCCAACACCTGTAGAAAGTACCTTCTCACAACACATGAAAATTTTTCCAGTATTTATCTACATGTTAGGCCAGTGATGGTCTTAGCAAATTTAAGAAGATTTAAATCATATCTACTATTCCTCTGACTACAGCAATGTAAGACTAGAAGTCTGTATCAAAAGGCTCTTCAGGAATTATACAAATGGAAACCGGCCTAATCCTGAATAATCCATAGGCTATTCAAGAAACTAAAATAAAAATTTAAGTTTTCAAGACAAATGAAAATGGACACAAAGCAAACCCAAAATCTATGGAATACAGCAAAAGCAGCTCTAAGCCAGACGCTTACACCAGCAAACGCTTTCAGGAAAGACAGTTTCAGGTGGGAGCAATAGAGCAGAGGTGACCTGCAGGTTTCAGACATTTGCAGCCATCTATCCAATCTTCAAAGGAGCAAAGAGCTCAAATACACATTGTTCCTAGAAGACATGCAAGCAAGTAGGATGCATGCTTTAAAATAAACTCAGCATCACTCAGCATCAGAGAGTATGAGTTAAAGCCATAATAAGACATCTTCTGACAGCTGCCAGAATGGCTGTTAAACAAATGGTGAGGTAGAGGAAGGAAACTTTGTACGCTCTGATGGGAGTTCACATTAGCAGTATTCACCATAGCCAAGAAATGAAGAGAACCAATACATGCATGGATAAAAAAACTGAAGATGTCATGTGATGCTATGTAATCATTAAGAATGAGCCCGAAAGACATTTCATTATATGAAACAAGCCAGGTACAAAAAAAGTATCACATAATTTCACTTGCAGTTAGAAGTTAAATTAGCCGAGCACCTAGCAGGGAGTGGAATGGATCTGCCAAAGGCTGCACCAGCTCAGCTGGACAGGAATGAATATTGCATGATATCATGGCCACCGTTAATAGCAATATCTTACACATCACTGAGAGATTTTCAATGTTCTTGGCACAAAACATCACAAATATGTGAAGGAGTATATGTGTTAGTTAGCTCAATCTAGACACTCTATAACGTATGCATAAACTGAAACAACCTGTTACGTATGATAAAGATATACAAATGTTATATATGGTAAAGATATACAAATGTTACATATGGTAAAGATATACAAATGTTACATATGGTAAAGATATACAAATGTTACATATGGTAAAGATATACAAATGTTACATATGGTAAAGATATACAAATGTTACATATGGTAAAGATATACAAATGTTACATATGATAAAGATATACAAATGTTTTGTCACTTAAACATTTTAAAGAGAGAAGAGGAGGAGGAAGGCAAAGGCCCTAGTTTTCGATTGACTCCTTGTGTGTTGAAAATCTGTGGCACAGTAACATGTTAGCTCTGTTTCCTAAATTATAGAAGTGAACGTGGTAAGAATGCCCTTGAATATTGAGAAACCTTGACCTCTACGAGCCTCCTAGAGCCCGGCCAGGGTCGCTGTTGGAGCCAGGGTGTCAAGAGCAGCAGGTTACGGGCGAGGCAGGGCCCTGAGGATGGAGGGCAGGGTGGGGAGGACACGGCGCCCTTCCTCCCCAGACTGAGGCAGGTCGCCGGCTCCGTGGAAGAGGCCAGAGCAGCCTCACACCTCCAGGGTGGCCACAGCCTGGCTACGACTACACCAAAGAGGAACACCCTGCCTCTCCCCCTCCGCATCTCCCTGCAGTGCCTCCTGGGCACTCCACCTCAGGATCGAGCTAGTCAAGGCCTGGGAACAGAGAGAGAAACGGGGAGACTCGACAGGGTCTCCAGAGGAGACCTGGCCATGAGTCCCTAACCAACTGACAGGCTGGCCGGGGCTGGGCATGCTCTGGGACACAGCCCTGGGGCTCCCCGGCGACCCGCACAGCGCTGTGCACAGCTCCAGCTCCAGATGCCAGGACACTGCACGCCCCATACACAGCTCCCCGGAGAGCGGCCCTAACCCTTTCCCACCCCCTCTCCTTTCAGAGAGCCCAAGCTGCAGCTGCAACCCCCAATTCTACCTGCTGCACCCGCCCCTGCAGGGCCTGTGGTTCCAGGAGAAGGCCAACTTCACCTGCCTCGTGGTCGGGGAGGACCTGGTGGACGCCCGCCTCTCCTGGGAGGTGGCCGGGAAGGTCACCACCAATGACGTGGAGCAGCAGTCTCTGGAGCGACTGGCCAACGGGTCCCAGAGCCAGAGCAGTCACCTGGTCCTGCCTAGGTCCACCTGGGAGGGGGGGAGCAACGTCAGCTGCATCCTGACGCTTCCCTGCCTCGCATCCCCGCGGGAGCTGACAGCAGCAAAGGAGCAGGGTAAGGCGGGGTCTGGGAGGCACGCCTGGGCCCCACCCGCCCTCCCAGACCAGTCAGCAGTAGAGCGCCTGCTGCCATGCCAGCCCCCTGCTTCTCTCCCCACACCACCCGCCCATCCCAACCAGCTCCACCTGACCCTTCTCCCCAGGGGCCCAGGCGCCCAGCAGCCTCTCCGTCAGCCTGCTGACCACACCGGCCCCCCTGGAGACAGCTTTGTGGCTCCTGTGCGAGGTGTCAGGCTTCTCCCCTCACCACGTCCTCCTGATGTGGCTGGAGGGCCAGAAGGAGGTGGGCCCTGAACGGTTTGCCTCTGCCGAACCTGGGCCTCAATCCCGGAGCACCATGTTCCGAACCTGGAGCACCCTGCGCATCCCCCACCTCCTCAGTCCTTCCCCGGCCACCTACACCTGTGTAGTCAAGCACGAGGCCTCCCGCACCATGGCCAACGCCAGCAGCAGCCTGGGTGCCAGGGGTGAGTTGTCTTCCATCAGGGAGGGTAAGGCAGGCACAGCTGGGGTGTGGGGGGGAGGGAGAGGAGTCCTTAGCTCTGTCTGTGGAGGAGTCCTTAGCTCTGTCTGTGGAGGAGTCCTTAGCTCTGTCTGAGGAGGAGTCCTTAGCTCTGTCTGTGGAGGAGTCATTAGCTCTGTCTGTGGAGGAGGAGTCCTTAGCTCTGTCTGTGGAGTCCTTAGCTCTGTCTGTGGAGGAGTCCTTAGCTCTGTCTGAGGAGGAGTCCTTAGCTCTGTCTGTGGAGGAGTCCTTAGCTGTGTCTGAGGAGGAGTCCTTAGCTCTGTCTGTGGAGGAGTCCTTAGCTCTGTCTGTGGAGGAGGAGTCCTTAGCTCTGTCTGTCTGAGGAGGAGTCCTTAGCTCTATCTGTGGAGGAGGAGTCCTTAGCTCTGTCTGTGGAGGAGGAGTCCTTAGCTCTATCTGTGGAGGAGGAGTCCTTAGCTCTGTCTGTGGAGGAGTCCTTAGCTCTGTCTGTGGAGGAGGAGTCCTTAGCTCTGTCTGTGGAGGAGTCATTAGCTCTGTCTGTGGAGGAGGAGTCCTTAGCTCTGTCTGTGGAGTCCGTAGCTCTGTCTGTGGAGGAGTCCTTAGCTCTGTCTGAGGAGGAGTCCTTAGCTCTGTCTGTGGAGGAGTCCTTAGCTGTGTCTGAGGAGGAGTCCTTAGCTCTGTCTGTGGAGGAGTCCTTAGCTCTGTCTGTGGAGGAGGAGTCCTTAGCTCTGTCTGTCTGAGGAGGAGTCCTTAGCTCTATCTGTGGAGGAGGAGTCCTTAGCTCTGTCTGTGGAGGAGGAGTCCTTAGCTCTATCTGTGGAGGAGGAGTCCTTAGCTCTGTCTGTGGAGGAGTCCTTAGCTCTGTCTGTGGAGGAGTCCTTAGCTCTGTCTGTGGAGGAGGAGTCCTTAGCTCTGTCTGTGGAGGAGTCCTTAGCTCTGTCTGTGGAGGAGGAGTCCTTAGCTCTGTCTGTGGAGGAGGAGTCCTTAGCTCTGTCTGTGGAGGAGTCCTTAGCTCTGTCTGTGGAGGAGGAGTCCGTAGCTCTGTCTGTGGAGGAGGAGTCCTTAGCTCTGTCTGAGGAGGAGTCCTTAGCTCTGTCTGTGGAGGAGGAGTCCTTAGCTCTGTCTGTGGAGGAGTCCTTAGCTCTGTCTGTGGAGGAGGAGTCCTTAGCTCTGTCTGTGGAGGAGTCTTTAGCTCTGTCTGTGGAGGAGTCCTTAGCTCTGTCTGAGGAGGAGTCCTTAGCTCTGTCTGTGGAGGAGGAGCACTTAGCTCTGTCTGTGGAGGAGGAGCACTTAGCTCTGTCTGTGGAGGAGGAGCACTTAGCTCTGTCTGTGGAGGAGGAGCACTTAGCTCTGTCTGTGGAGGAGGAGCACTTAGCTCTGTCTGTGGAGGAGGAGTCCTTAGCTCTGTCTGTGGAGGAGTCCTTAGCTCTGTCTGTGGAGGAGTCCTTAGCTCTGTCTGTGGAGGAGGAGTCCTTAGCTCTGTCTGTGGAGGAGGAGTCCTTAGCTCTGTCTGAGGAGGAGTCCTTAGCTCTGTCTGTGGAGGAGGAGTCCTTAGCTCTGTCTGTGGAGGAGTCCTTAGCTCTGTCTGTGGAGGAGGAGTCCTTAGCTCTGTCTGTGGAGGAGTCTTTGGCTCTGTCTGTGGAGGAGTCCTTAGCTCTGTCTGAGGAGGAGTCCTTAGCTCTGTCTGTGGAGGAGGAGCACTTAGCTCTGTCTGTGGAGGAGGAGCACTTAGCTCTGTCTGTGGAGGAGGAGTCCTTAGCTCTGTCTGTGGAGGAGTCCTTAGCTCTGTCTGTGGAGGAGTCCTTAGCTCTGTCTGTGGAGGAGTCCTTAGCTCTGTCTGTGGAGGAGGAGTCCTTAGCTCTGTCTATTGAGGAGTCCTTAGCTCTGTCTGAGGAGGAGTCCTTAGCTCTGTCTGTGGAGGAGGAGTCCTTAGCTCTGTCTGTGGAGGAGGAGCACTTAGCTCTGTCTGTGGAGGAGGAGCACTTAGCTCTGTCTGTGGAGGAGGAGCACTTAGCTCTGTCTGTGGAGGAGTCCTTAGCTCTGTCTGTGGAGGAGGAGTCCTTAGCTCTGTCTGTGGAGGAGTCCTTAGCTCTGTCTGTGGAGGAGGAGTCCTTAGCTCTGTCTGTGGAGGAGTCTTTAGCTCTGTCTGTGGAGGAGTCCTTAGCTCTGTCTGAGGAGGAGTCCTTAGCTCTGTCTGTGGAGGAGGAGCACTTAGCTCTGTCTGTGGAGGAGGAGCACTTAGCTCTGTCTGTGGAGGAGGAGCACTTAGCTCTGTCTGTGGAGGAGGAGCACTTAGCTCTGTCTGTGGAGGAGGAGCACTTAGCTCTGTCTGTGGAGGAGGAGTCCTTAGCTCTGTCTGTGGAGGAGTCCTTAGCTCTGTCTGTGGAGGAGGAGTCCTTAGCTCTGTCTGTGGAGGAGGAGTCCTTAGCTCTGTCTGAGGAGGAGTCCTTAGCTCTGTCTGTGGAGGAGGAGTCCTTAGCTCTGTCTGTGGAGGAGGAGTCCTTAGCTCTGTCTGTGGAGGAGTCTTTAGCTCTGTCTGTGGAGGAGTCCTTAGCTCTGTCTGAGGAGGAGTCCTTAGCTCTGTCTGTGGAGGAGGAGCACTTAGCTCTGTCTGTGGAGGAGGAGCACTTAGCTCTGTCTGTGGAGGAGGAGCACTTAGCTCTGTCTGTGGAGGAGGAGCACTTAGCTCTGTCTGTGGAGGAGGAGCACTTAGCTCTGTCTGTGGAGGAGGAGTCCTTAGCTCTGTCTGTGGAGGAGTCCTTAGCTCTGTCTGTGGAGGAGTCCTTAGCTCTGTCTGTGGAGGAGTCCTTAGCTCTGTCTGTGGAGGAGGAGTCCTTAGCTCTGTCTATTGAGGAGTCCTTAGCTCTGTCTGAGGAGGAGTCCTTAGCTCTGTCTGTGGAGGAGGAGTCCTTAGCTCTGTCTGTGGAGGAGGAGTCCTTAGCTCTGTCTGTGGAGGAGGAGTCCTTAGCTCTGTCTGTGGAGGAGGAGCACTTAGCTCTGTCTGTGGAGGCGGAGCACTTAGCTCTGTGGAGGAGGAGCACTTAGCTCTGTGGAGGAGGAGCACTTAGCTCTGTGGTAGAGGAGCACTTAGCTCTGTCTGTGGAGGAGGAGCACTTAGCTCTGTCTGTGGAGTAAGAGCACTTAGCTCTGTGGAGGAGGAGGGCCTGGGCTGCTGCAGGTGGACCCACTTGAAGCCCTTCTCTTCCCAGTGCTGTTTCCCATGTCTCCTATGAGAACACATCCTGGACGGTCCTCGCTAGCTTCCCTCATGTCGCATGCCGCGTTCTGGCCCGGGATGTCCGGCACTGGGTGGGCATTTTCCCTGCACAGCTCCCCAAGAGCCTGGTCAGGTGACCCTGTCGCTGGTGTCAGGGTGAAGACAGGCACGGTCCACACCAGAAGCCCTCCCCGAGCCCAGAGTCAGACCCTGGGTGATGGGAACCAGCCCGCGTCTGGTGCCATGGCTCACTGCTCAGAGGGCCAGAGAGAGGTGGAGGCCCCAGCCACCGGGTTGTGTCATGCACCATCCTGTCACACTGCCCCTCCTCGGTCGCCCCTGGCAGGCCTGTCCTGCGTCTAGGCCTGTCTGAACACCACCCAGGCCCTTGCTCCTCACTGTGGCACAGTGAAGTCATCTCTATCAAGTCAGGGCTCAGGCCTGTCTTCCCGGAGCCCCGGGCCCAGAGCGGGAGTGAGCATGAGGGCTAGCAGGTGCCCGCGGGGGATGTGGCAGGAAGCTAGCCCTGGAGTTGTGCCGTCGGTGCGGCACCACCGGCTGTGGCCGGGCAGGGGGGACCCACCGAGGGGCCTTCTCACCGAGGGCCTGCTCCTTTCCAGAGCTGGCCACCACCCTGCTGCTGGCCCCACAGAGCCAGGACCAGAACAGTGACGACTACACAGAGCTGGACAAGGAGAGCAGCCTGTGGACCATGCTGGGCACCTTCGTGGCCCTGTTCCTCCTTACACTGCTCTACAGCGGCTTCGTCACCTTCATCAAGGTAGCCGGTGCGGTGCCCTCCGTAAGCAGTGGGGCTTGGGTGAGGTGCCATTCCTGGCAGAGGTCTGGATCCATGTCAGAAATTCTGCATGGCCAGGGCAGGCCTGAGGGGAGCCCAGGGAGCCGCTCCAGGGCACCACTGGACGGGGCACCGCTGACCCCGGCCCTGCTCCATTCCCCTCCTCCCTCCGGGAGTGGTCCACTTGACCCCAGCGTTCTACCCCAGGTGAAGTGACCCCAAGACGCAAGACTTCCTGTGGCCTCAGAGACTCCAGAACTGGATGTAGAAGAGGTCTGCGGAGATGACCTGTCCTGGACACCCTCCGCGCAGAGACAGACCCCAGCCCTCCCTCCCAGCTTCACAGGCAGATCCGTGGGGTTTCCTGGCTGGGTGGGCAGCGTGTTCTGCTGGCCTGGCTGGCTGGCACTGCCCCCTGCCCCCTCCCCCCTGCCCCCTTGAGAGTCGTCCTTGCCGCCACCCTGTAAACACACTTTGGCTCATTTCACCTGTCTCCTGCTTCTCTGTCCCTGAAGTCTTGACTACATCAAATCAAAGCTTGCAGGGGTGAGCATTCTCTAGGGTACAGGAATGTTAGCTGTTACACTGGGGAAAGCCGCTGGGAAGTTAGTGGGGGGAGATCCTCCTCCCGCATCCAGCACACACTAGCATCTATACGCACATATAAGGCACACACGTGTATGTGTGCATGTATACTCATGTGCAGCTCATGCACTCACACACATGCACAGACATGCAAACATGTGACTGACTGCTCACCCTCCAACACATGGTAGTGTAAACCAGAGGGAGGATAGGTCCACCTTGTCATAAGGGAGGCCTGTCTGCTCACAGGGAGAGCCCTCCCGAGGTCTGCTCACAGGGAGAGCCCTCCCGAGGTCTGCTCACAGGGAGAGCCCTCCCGAGGTCTGCTCACAGGGAGAGTCCTCCCGAGGTATGCTCAAGGGGAGAGTCCTCCCGAGTGACCACAGCTGCCCTTTGCTGCCCTGGGTTGCCAGCTTCTGGCTTTTCCCTGGAGTCCTGTGTTTGCTCCACAGGTGCCATGCAGCGGGAGGGACTGTGGGACAGCAAGAATTGAGACAAGGGCTCAGCCTGAGTAGAGACCACTGTTTGGTGCCTGAGGGGCAGGTTTGAGCTTTGTTTCAGGTTAGGAAATGTATTTATTAAAACTGCACTGTGACACTCACGATGCTCACTCACCAAGCACGCTCACCCAGTGTCACACACGGCCCTCACCCAGCACCCAGGCCCTGCCCGCATCACACGCGGCCCTCACCCAGCACCCAGGCCCTGCCCTGTCACACGCGGCCCTCACCCAGCACCCAGGCCCTGCCCTGTCACACGCGGCCCTCACCCAGCACCCAGGGCCTGCCCTGTCACACACGGCCCTCACCCAGCACCCAGGCCCTGCCCTGTCACACATGGCCCTCACCCAGCACCCAGGGCCTGCCCTGTCACACGCGGCCCTCACCCAGCACCCAGGGCCTGCCCTGTCACACGCAGCCCTCACCCAGCACCCAGGGCCTGCCCTGTCACACGCGGCCCTCACCCAGCACCCAGGGCCTGCCCTGTCACACGCAGCCCTCACCCAGCACCCAGGGCCTGCCCTGTCACACACGGCCCTCACCCAGCACCCAGGCCCTGCCCTGTCACACATGGCCCTCACCCAGCACCCAGGGCCTGCCCTGTCACACGCGGCCCTCACCCAGCACCCAGGGCCTGCCCTGTCACACGCGGCCCTCACCCGGCACCCAGGGCCTGCCCTGTCACACGTGGCCCTCACCCAGCACCCAGGGCCTGCCCTGTCACACATGGCTCACCCAGCACCCAGGCCCTGCCCTGTCACACACAGCCCTCACCCAGCACCCAGGCCCTGCCCTGTCACACGTGGCCCTCACCCAGCACCCAGGGCCTGCCCTGTCACACATGGCTCACCCAGCACCCAGGCCCTGCCCTGTCACACACAGCCCTCACCCAGCACCCAGGGCCTGCCCTGTCACACACGGCCCTCACCCAGCACCCAGGGCCTGCCCTGTCACACATGGCTCACCCAGCACCCAGGCCCTGCCCTGTCACACACAGCCCTCACCCAGCACCCAGGGCCTGCCCTGTCACACACGGCCCTCACCCAGCACCCAGGGCCTGCCCTGTCACACATGGCTCACCCAGCACCCAGGCCCTGCCCTGTCACACACAGCCCTCACCCAGCACCCAGGCCCTGCCCGCATCACACGCGGCCCTCACCCAGCACCCAGGCCCTGCCCTGTCACACGCGGCCCTCACCCAGCACCCAGGCCCTGCCCTGTCACACGCGGCCCTCACCCAGCACCCAGGCCCTGCCCTGTCACACGCGGCCCTCACCCAGCACCCAGGGCCTGCCCTGTCACACGCGGCCCTCACCCAGCACCCAGGGCCTGCCCTGTCACACACAGCCAGCACCCAGGGCCTGCCCTGTGACACACAGCCCTCACCCAGCACCCAGGGCCTGCCCTGTCACACGCGGCCCTCACCCAGCACCCAGGGCCTGCCCTGTCACACATGGCTCACCCAGCACCCAGGGCCTGCCCTGTGACACACAGCCCTCACCCAGCACCCAGGGCCTGCCCTGTGACACGCGGCCCTCACCCAGCACCCAGGGCCTGCCCTGTCACACATGGCCCTCACCCAGCACCCAGGGCCTGCCCTGTCACACATGGCTCACCCAGCACCCAGGGCCTGCCCTGTCACACGCGGCCCTCACCCAGCACCCAGGGCCTGCCCTGTCACACGCGGCCCTCACCCAGCACCCAGGGCCTGCCCTGTCACACATGGCTCACCCAGCACCCAGAGCCTGCCCTGTCACACGCGGCCCTCACCCAGCACCCAGGGCCTGCCCTGTCACACGCGGCCCTCACCCAGCACCCAGGGCCTGCCCGGTCACACACGGCCTGCACACTTGTTTCCCAGCGCCTCTGGGGCCTGCCCGGTCACCCGCGGCCTGCACGCTTGTTTCCCAGCGCCTCTGGGGCCCAGCTGCCCAGCTCTCCGTGTGGTTTCATCGCCTTCACTCTCACAGAACACATGAGTTCCCGGCCATCACGCAGCGGTCAGGTGATTCTTCACCACTACAGATATCTCACATGACACGGGGTTTGCACCTTCCTGGCACCAAAGCCACAGGCTGTCACTCGACCTTGTGACATGAAGCCCCAGCCACTGCCAGGCATCTGGGCTTGACCCACACAGCTTCCCGTAGTGACTCCAGCCTGCAGGACGGCCTCCATCTGTTTCCAGCAGGGGCAACAAACAGGACACAGGCATCTTCCCACACCTAAATCAAGGGCTTGACAGGCTTGCTCTGGCCCACTCACCACTGGGAGGGATGGGGAGGATGGTAGTATGGGTAAGCCGCCTTGTTAATTGGCAACGCCTCTGCACAAGGACATAACCGTCATAAAAATATAGTTCAATGTTTCCCAGTAGTGCAAGTTTCACTACTGCCACTGGCTTTTGGTTGTTTGCACAAAGTATCTCTTCCTTCAGTTTGGGCTTGAGATCCATTTCATGAAGTTCAAGTGTAGCTTTTCCTGCTGGCGTTCGGTTGTTGGCACAAAGTATCCATCCATTCTCTCACTCTCAGTCTCTGTCCTCACAGGGTTGGTGAGTAACTAGGCAGCCTGCAGGTGGGCCATGTGTCCTTATCCGGCCAGTGGCTCTCCATCTTCTAACTAGAGAGTTCAAACCAGCTGCCTTCAGGCTTTCTGGTGGGAGGAAGGGCCATTCCTGCCATGCGTTCTTGCTCTCCGGTTGTCTCTGCTGCCTTCTTCCCCTCCTTGATTACGTGGTGGGCTGCTGGCCTTCTGTGCCTATGAGCCTTTCTGTGCCTTGGGGCCTTTCTCTTTTGAGTTTGAAAAGTTGCTGCGATTCTTGCTGATTACCACGGAACTGACGTGAAGATTCTTGGGCACGGACAAATACTTTGAATTTTATCTACCCCCTCACAACATATTTTTTGTCATTTTGATTTACATACTTGTGTATTGTGTGTTCTTAACAAGTACTTCTAGCTGCAGGTACCTTGACCATTTTGAACTTTAACCTTCATCATAGTGATTTGAGAGAATTATATAGAATGGTTATGGTCCTAGAGAAGAATGAGCTTGATTATAAATCAGTAAACACATATTAAATTTGCCCCTAAGCATGAGTTTTACACCTCATGTGTATTTGTGAGGTAATCATTGTCCACAGGAGAAAGTATCTGTTTATTTTGGCTCACATATGCACACAGCACAGAAGTAAGCAGGCTTTCCACAGGCCAGGCCCCTCGACCTTTGTGGCCAGTCGATTTTACAGCTCAAAGCTGAAGGGATACATGGGGAAGAGTTAGGTGCAGGTCCATCAGCCACAGGCTGAGCCACCCAAGCCCAGAGGTGGTGTCCTGTGGTCCAGCCCGTTGGTGTCCAGTGTCCTTCGCTGGGCAAGTCACTTCACCTGCAGGCAACAGACACAGGGAGGGTGAGCCGTGGTCCCCCAACAAGCAGAGGTGGGGTAGGAGAACGGGGTCCCAGCACCTCTGTCAGCCCAGGCCGCTCCCTGCCCCGGTCAGCCCCAGGGCCCGCTCAGCCCCAGCCAGGCTACCTTGAACAGGGTCACAGTGGTGCTGTAGAAGAGGCTCAGGAGGAAGAGAACGATGAAGGTGGAGGCCGTGGTCCAGAGGTTCTCGAAGCCCTCCTCCTCGGCGCTCACCTCTCCCTCTGTGAGGGGCACAGAAGGAGGGTCAGAGTGGGGTGGAGGCTCGCGGGGCAGTACAGTCTGGTGCTGGCTGGACGCCTGCCTGCTACCTGCCCTAGGGCTGGAGGAGGCCTGGCCAGCACAGGACGGGCTCCTTGAGCGCTAGCTGGACAGAGGAGAGCATGGCCAAGCAGCGGCAGGCAGTGAGCCCTGGCGGCAGACAGAGCACGAGAGGCGCAGCACGCGGGCGCGGGTGCAGGAAGCGCGGGCTCAGGCAGGGGCTCTGCTGTGTCCTGCTCTCTGTGCGGGGCCCAGAGCCAGGGCCGCGGGGCCGCGTGGCGGCTGACACACTGAAGCCCCTTGCTTTGGGACGGGGCAGATGGAGATGGAGATGAGGCTGCCTGTTCCCCCTTCCCGGCCAGCACTCTGACACCTGCTCCCCAGCGAAGCAGAGTCCCCACGAGTGCCTGTCCCTCCCCTCCCCCGCAGCCATGGCTCCGGGCCAGGGGACGGGAGATGAGCACGCTCGGCAAGGCCTCTGCCTGGGAATGCAGGGGCAGCTGCAGCTCAGCCCACAGGGCTGAGTGCACGGCAGGGTCTAGGGGCCACCGCAGCCAGGCAGCGTCTGGCGGGCACGTGGCCTTTGCCGGGTCTCTGTCTTCCCTCCCTGTCTCTCCTGGGCAGCTAGCTTCTGCGGCCGGCCTGGGAAGCAGGGCACATGCACTCAGACTGGTCTCCTGTGGCTTCCTACTAACGGGGAGCAGCCAAG